TCCCTTAATGCTTGCACATTAAGTCATATGGAGAAATATGAGTAATTGACACATGCTGTACAATGCATAAATAATATTTAGAAATTTTGAATCACATTTTCTTGACAGCATGAATAGAAAATCAACAAGGAAAGGCATTCAGTAATTCAGAGGTACACGTTTGATTTTCATTTTAATTCTGTGCTGTTATTTTATTGTGGTTTATTAAAATCTTGCATATACAGTACATAATTCTCCATAATCATTGCCTCTGGTTTAAAATTAAGCAATTTGGGAGCAAAGCTAATAGAAATATACTTGACAAATGCAATTTCTAGTTGAAAAATGTCATATTTGCATGCTTAAAGGTTATCCTTCATCAGAAATATTTTTGTTGTTTTGCAGCATTCGTATCAAATTTCATAAAGTAATACTTAATACAATGTAAATAGACCTTTCCAGAATTACATCATGACATCACATGATCTTGTTGTTTTCTCCTAATGTCTGTCATATTGGACAGCAGCACGCGTACATTCTAGGCAGTGAAAAAAATTTGAAAAAGCCTTTCCACTGTTGCACTTTTGGCTGCACCAATAGACAGGGTTCAGAACCGGGTATATCTTTTTTACAGATTCCCAGCTGACCCAAAAAAGAAAACCAATATGGATTGCTACAGTTAGGAGACAAAATTGGCAACCTACACTGTATTCCTGTATCTTCAGTGCACATTTTGTGAAAGGTATCAGAATAAATCTGTTGACTAATATTTGTATAAATTTAAACTTTCTCATTAAATATGTGTTTAAGTATCATACAATTTATTAATTATTGAAACTACTGAGATTTGATAAGGGCTCCGTATTATTTCTCCAGGCATTAATGAATAGTGTATGAAATTATGATATAGGTACTGTTGTTAGATTAGGCGAGGCATCATAAACTGAGTGGCATACAGGTAACGTCAGAATGAATAAATATTACAAAGACTTTGTATTATTAAGCACAAATTTTGTGCTTAAAATAGTAATTAAGGAAGATAAAAAAAAAAAGTAGGAGTTACAAAGACATGAGCATAATCTCTCTTACTTTCACATCTGACATTCATTCTGCTAAGAATTTATAACCACCAAGTTTTTACAGCAACTTATACTTTCATTACTGGTAAAATTAACAAAATACACATAAATATCACACTATCTAAAAGTTGGTCTCGTTTGGTCTTTCTATCATGATCAGAAAAGTCACCTGCATGGTCATCTAGGCCACCTGTGGAATAATATATGGATAGAAAATGACAGAATTATCCATATAAAACTCTACACTTATTTTCATGAACAATTTTGACAGTTTTAAAGATTCATAGCATATATGCTCAACTTTATTGCTACCATTGTCATGAAATAATGAACAGTTTGATGTCCAAAATGGTGGATGGCAGTGTTGAGCTTCTTGTAAATCACGTGAGCTGGAAAGGTCTATCAATAAATTGTATTTTTTCAATGTTTATGGCATAAGTAGAAGTATAACTTATTATTTACCATAGTATAGTTTTCAGCAACAGCTATAAATCTAAAAGAATCACAGTTCCCAAGAATAAGACTAAGACTAAATCTTTTTTTTCTCAGAACTTTAAGTCTTAGTACACATAGGCGAATTAATTTGTGCAAAATATAAAAAGATCCAGTTGCTCTAGTACTAGCATACACTAAGCCCAGGTAATAAAAGTTTAGAAATGTTAGAAAATTACTGTGTATTAACCCTTTCCCTACAAGTAGGTTAAAGTATGCATGATGCAACCTTTTACAGAGCTACATTCAAAACTTAATTAAACTAGTTTATTATCAATGTATACAACTAAACTTGGCATCAAAAAATAGTTAATAAATCAAATGTTAACATTATACAAGTTTTAATTGTGCAATTTTAAAAGTAAATACTTAGGTAAATCTTCAATCTTCCCTTATCTCTAGGGTCTTGTCCATTCTCTAATTTATTTACCAACCCTCTCTGAATTACATAATTTAATGTATAGAATACTCATTATAGTATAGATATTACTAACATAAAGTCTAATTATTATAGCCTTCAGTCTTCTTTGTTTATGGAGGTGTAAATGTAAGTTAGACCCACTTGCCATGCCCACCTATCACATCCTCTGTTTCCCAAATTGCTAATTATCCTCTCTGACATTTTTTTTACGTCATTCATAACTAACAGAAAGACAATTTTAATCTACTGAATGATGTATAATGCTTTGTTATTCTCAATAGAAATTTTTAGTTACTTTACTTACAAATTGAAAGTTGCTATCACCAAGTTCAGATTGAGTAGCTAAGGGAATTATTTTAAGATGCTTATGCCTCATTTAGAAAGCCAGCTAAATTATAATAGCTATAGGGCTTTGTGTGCATTATTATTAATCTGAAAAGATATGTTAACAAAGTCAACTGAAGTTCAGTGTTCACTACAGTACTATCTGGTATATGTCAAAGAGTCGGTGGGGATGGTCGAGGTGCTCAATAGGCATAATACAAATATGCATGCTAAAAAAATCAACAGTGATTTAAATGATGATTACCACTCACTTTCATTTGTTTTTCTGCCCAGCATGCCCAAAAACAAGGCAAGAAACCCCAAGAGCCGAACCAGAAAGTAATCAACCCACCAAATTGTTCATCTTTCTTCTTCTTTCAGTTGAGATAACTCTACAACTACTTTATCACTAATGTCAGTTTAAAACAATCCACACTACATCTTTCTTGGCAGTGCATGATGTCTTCGCTTACTCATAACTAATATTAATTAAACAAAAAGAATCATAATTCTAGTGTAAACAATGTAATCATTACTCATTGAAGTTAGCTTTTTTTTATGGAAATTTGGTGTTCC